CTTCCTCTTTTGGCCCCCAACGTTTTGCAAAATAGCACAGAAAAAAAAAACACTGAACTCTCTCTCTCTTCCACAAACATCTAATAAAAAATCTAGGGGGGGGGTGACAGATTGGGAGGGGGGGTTAGCCCTGCAGCATTGTTATTACTTTCACCACCCAAGTGGTCGGAGAGCAACAGTTCAACCAGACCAGTGGGAAAAATGTCGGCGTTTGATTTGTTCTTCAGGAAACTGTTCTCCAGTAGGAGGGTTCTGTCTGTGAAGAACAGCACATTCACTCATTCACCACAATTCACTCATTCATCACAATTCACTCATTCACCACAATTCACAACTATTCACCCATTCACCAAAATTCACCCATTCACAACAATTCACTCATTCACCACAATTCTCTCATTCACCACAATTCACTCGTTCACCACAATTCACTCATTCGCACCAATTCACTCGTTCACCACAATTCACTCGTTCGCACCAATTCACAACAATTCACCAGTTCACCACAATTCACCCGTTCACCACAATTCACTCATTCACTACTATTCACTCATTCACCACAATTCACCCATTCACCACAATTCACTCGTTCACACCAATTTACTCGTTCACAACAATTCACTCGTTCACCACAATTCACCCATTCACCACAATTCACTCGTTCACACCAATTTACTCGTTCACAACAATTCACTCGTTCACCACAATTCACTCATTCAAAACATTTAGCCATTCTCAAGGACATTTCACTATTTCTCTTCATTACTGCTGTTATAAACCCCCCCTAGTGGTCGTACTGTGCTGACCTGCAGGTTGTTTTGTCTGTCCACCGTCCAGGCCCAGAGCTTCTTCTCAGTGGAGCCTGTTACGCCTCTCAAACCCCTGGGGTCAAAGGTCAGGCACATGACGGGCTCAGGGTGCGCTTTGACTTCACTCAGCTTTGACCTCTGTCCTACGTCCCAAAGCAGCAGAGAGCCATCCTCGTAGCCCGCCAACAGAAGGGGCCCGGGTTGCGACTCCGGCTGCGGGAGGAGGAAAAGAGTGATAAGACGGAGCAGGAGTCAGTGACAAGGAGACAAACATCAGCGCGAGGCCGCGAGGAGGAACCGCTCAGAACCACAGGAAGTTCTGCGTGAACCCAGGAGCCCCGGCGGAGCAGAGGTTATCATGCTAGGAAGCCTCCTCCGACAGCGCGGGACACTTTGAGGGCCCGATTCATCAGCCCGCTGCTCCGTCTGTCAGGACCTCCATTACAACACTCCTCACTTTGCTCCTCATCTGTATCACTGAGCCAAAGAGCTCCCTGTCTGCACCTGGGGGAAAAAAAAAAACGCTTCTGCAAACGGGGACTGAAAGCTAACCGCTTCTCGTCTTTGCGTACCGCGATGTTCAGTCAATGAAAAAAAAATTTAAAAAATCTCTGTTCTAGAACATATAGAGGAGGGTTTGGACTTTTGATCCTTTTGCTTCACCGGAACTGAGGTCAGTAAGAACTTTACTTAGGAGCGGCAGAGAAGAATGTGAAGGTGGTGCACAGTTAACTGACAGATGTGTTTCGGGACAGGGGTGGGGCCACAGCGGGGATCAACTCTAAGCTGCTTCTTGTGTGCGGCGAAGATGAGCAGGATGACAGACGAGGACAGACAGGAGGCTCGGCGGACGACGGAGCGCGCAGGCGACGTTGCGTGACACATAGGTGGAGCTGCGAGGAGGTACACGTAAAGACCTGGGATCAACAGTCCAGAGTTAGGGAGGGACGGGGTGAGGAGGGTGAGGCACGATATGTGACAGAACTGTATTAAGACAAAAGAAACAAAAGAACAGCTGTTTTTTTGTTTCCATCCAACCTGGGGTGCACGGCCCCACAGTGGCATGCTAGAACAAGAGTTTTTTTTCAAAATATTTTTAAATGCTTGTTTAAAAGGAACAAAATCATTGAATTTATTCTTTATCGTAAAAGTTCTTCGCTGTTGATCGGTTATGACCGCTGTGGCGTCGTAGCCAATCAGAGCGCGGCTGCGGTGACGAAGCTCCTTTAACTGACATCGGGCTCCCACCAACAGCAGGTTTTGCCTTCAGAAGCAGAGAGGCCAAAAATAAATTTTTTCCACATGTGCCGAGTCGTCCGTGTCGGACACTTTTCCATCCGTCTTCGGGGGTTCGTTTCTTGCCTCGTATTTATCTTTTCTCGTCCTTTAACAAATTATAGACAGAACTGCGTGTTACTCCTAAACAACGTCGGCGAGGACGAACACTGAGGGATTACAAAAACAAATAAAAACAAGTGAAAATCAGCCGGCCCTGGATGCGGCCCTCGCAGCCCGGAGGCCCCCTCCGTTCTACCTATGTGACGGACCGACTTAATTGATGATGTCACGGGGTCGTAGGTCGGGGAACCCTGGGTAGACGCGAAATTCATTATATCCTTTACAGGCGCTTTCTACAAGAGGTAGGTCTCTGCTGGACCAGGACTGGAGCTGGAGCTGTGGGAGGAGATTCATCAGCTGGAGGCGCCGCCATTTTTATCGTAGCGGCGTCGATGAAGTGGAGACGGTGGAGGAGCAACGGTGGCAACAGTCTAATTCAGACATAAACTTTTTTGACTCGCGGGTCACAATTGTCCTAACATTGAATGGTGATTTTATCATTTTCTACTTTATATGTGTATGTTTATATGTGTGTGGATGTATATATTTATATACACATATATGTAAATATATAAATTAGAAATAAAAATTTGGAAATGTTTGGCGGGCCGAATTAAAAAACTGAACGGGCCGCGTCCAGCCCCCAGGCCTTAGTTATATATGCCCATAGTCTGGTCTAAACAATTACTTCGTACTGATCTGGTTTCTCTTCTTTGGTTGTAGAACTATTCAAAGTAGATTCTGCTGCGGGAACACTTAGTGTTAGGGTTAGTTCGCTACAGTTCGTAACCAAAAAGGCCTGCTAGCGCTGTTAGCCTCGCGTTGCTATTCTACTCAACACTTCAACTTTTGAACAAATACAAAAACACAAAGACATTTTACAACCATGTGAGAGCTAGAAAAATAATGTAGAAAACGAAAAGCACAAATATACAAATGTATATGTGCACATATATTTATATGTACATATATGACATTTGTAACATATAGGTATGTATGTATATATAAATACAAATATGTATACACACATATATACATATCAGTATATATATGTGTATACATATATACGCTATACACATATATTTCATAGTCATATATACATATATTTATCAATATATATGTTATATACATATATACATACACAAACAAGTACTGCATATAGATTTCTGAATCACTTTTACTTAATAAAAAATTCAGCGCCACCTAGAGGCCCTCAGGCAGGTTCTGCTGTAACATAAGGAACCAATCGTCTCCTCCCGTTTTTTTTTTTTCTGCAGCGCTCCGCTCTGATGTCATAGCCACGAGGCAGAGAAGTGATGAGCTGAGTGTGATGGATATCTGTATAGGAACATTTCCTCTTCCCCGCCAGCCTCTGTTCACATTATAGGCCTTACAGACAATACATCAGTGCTGCCCCCCCCGTCTCCTCCTCCTCTCCCCCCTCCCCTCCCAGCTAAGACCTACGTCCCCACATAAGTCAAAGGGAAACATGTGGAGCTGCTTTAAGTCCTATCCTTTTCCTTTTGCGTTCACCATAAAGGAGACGCGGAGCGGCATCCGTCAGGAGCCTATCAGGAGCGAGGCGGGATTTGAACCCCCAGCCCAGCTGGGACAGAGGTGAGGTGAGAAGAAAGTGGAGTTAAACGATGCATTAAATCAGTTTGCCGACATTCATTGGAGGGGAGAGGTCAGAGAGAGAGAGAGTTGGGGCTGTGGATTAATCTGGTAGACCGTGGGGGA